AGAAGCTACATGTGGAAGACTGAATTCGGGGCTATTTAGTTTTTAAACTATTTAAGTAACCTTTGCAACCTTTCAATTACAATAATGAGTAAGAGCACTGTTCTAATTAGATTATTCTAATAGGATGAAAAGCTACTACAACTCAACTTATAAGATGACTAAGTCAAAAGAATTAGGGGAAGGAATAAATGTTTAAAAAAGAAAAAGAAATAACTAAACAACAATAAAATACACAAAATACTGTGAAGGATCAATTGGCAGGACTGTTCCTTCCCCAAATCTGTATTCATCTAGGCAGCATAGGAGAGAGAAGACCGTGAGCCTGGGAGCCAGGCAACCCATGTTGAAACCCTAGCTCTACCACTTACTAACTATAATATCTTTAGCAAATTACTTAAAATTTGTTTTCATTTCCTTATTTATAAAATAAAAATAATAATAGTAACTACTTCATAAGTTATTGTAAGAGTTAAATGGAGTAAAATATGGAAAGCACTTATAATATATTAGGAGCTATTCTAAGTGCTATATGAGTGTTTGCAATTTTACTGAATTGGTAAAATACACAATACTACCCAACCCAAAACCTTCCACAGATGGCCCAACTGCCTTTTAACACTTCTATCTTTCTTTTTAATGCATTTTCCCTAGAGTCAGAAGATTTGGATTTGAATTCAAGCTGTGCCTCTTGTACCTGCTACACAACTTGGAAACCAAAGTTTTGGTTTCCTCTTCTGTGAAACAGTACTGTTGTTAATGATTAAATAAAACAGTGAACATAAAACACTTAACATTTACTCCTTGATAATACAAAAAGTACTTAATGGTAGCTATTATTTATAATCTCCTTGTTTTATACTAAACTATCCTTCTTTTATACTACATCTAGATTTAGATAGCCTCTTTAAAGGTTGGGGCTTCTACTTTAGCAATGAATGAAAAATTTAAATAAACTTACTCTTAGTGTTCATACCATCAGTTCTGCATTTGGTCTGCTCCTCCTACAACCCTTCTCTTCAATCTAGTCTGTGTCTGTAATACCAGGTAGACCTAGCAGAATGCATCTTCTTCACCGCACTGCCCCCCTCCCCTCAAAATGCGACATTATTTAAATATAAAAAGTGATGACCTTGTAAGGAATGTGCTTTGAATAGCTTTCCCCAGACCTGGGAAAAAATTTAGTTCAATTCATCTGCCTTTTCTTCTCCACATCCCCTCAGGGGCCACAGTATATAATTTAGGAGTTGGCTGCAGGGGTAAAAGGTAAAACACAGCCGAACAGCCTACCTGGCCTCCAGCAACTCAACATCACTCACCAGCCATAAAGTAAACAAACCCACTACAGTGAATAGAAGAGAATCTGCAACAAATGTCCCACTTAGGGGTTTTTAAATAAGAAAAGCCAAATCACATGGTAGGCATATAGAACTCATTTGCCCATATACACATGGTTTGCTATGATAAATCACAATTACTTCTTCTGTTATGAGAGTTACACTTGACTGAAAAGGGGCACAATTAAGACATCTCAACAGTCTACTGTCAAGGCAATGATTTTCTAAACCACATTCCAGGGAACCCCAAGGTATCATTGGGTTAGAACTGAAAATTAAATGCTTGTTTGTTCAGACAGGAAATATTAGGCCTGAAAGAATCTCAAAAGGTCATTCAATTTACTCCAAGATGTAAGCCGGGAAAACTACAGTTAAGACTATGCAACACCCAACTGGCCAAATGGTGTGGTGTCTATAATGCTTTGACAAAAATTCCCTTAGCCTATGATTTGATGCTGGCACATGTACACTTCAATGTGCAATTTTACATATTCTTTGTGGAAGTCAATGGATAAAAGTATGAAATGAAATTGTGCTTTTTTGTGTACAAGCATGTTTATTTTAGCATTTTTTAATAGAAAAAACTTACTACAACTAAAATGTTCAATAGTCTGTAGAGTTGAAAAGATTTCCATGACCTATTCACTAAATAAAGCTATTATCCAAGTATGTTTAATATTCCAAGAAGTGTGTACTGTACATTTATGTTTATACTGAACTTATTATGTTCATAAGAGAGCTTGAAGGAAACACACCAAACTGCCACTAGTTTTTCATCAGTCAAGTGAGATTGAAAATCCACTCTGTATTTGATTATTTTACAATTTGTATGTATTGCTTTTGTAGTAAGAAAAAATTAAGATCTCTTTTTAAAACTCAAAATTATTAAGAAGTTTGAATACTTTATCAAAGCCTCATAAAGTGTTTTTAAGCATATGAATAAAATGCTTTTTGCTTTGCTAATAATTCTAATCATAGTATTCACTGGAACAATTCTTCATTTCTTTTGGTTATCTCTTTCAATTAGATGACACAGAAGAATGGACCAGTTATCAAGAATACAGGACAATGGAAATTACCCAATTGGAAGATGAAAAAGAAAAAAGAATTTAAAAGAATGAGGACAGCATAAGGGACCTCTGGGACAAAAGAAGTATACTAACATTCATATCATAGGGTTCCCAGAAGAGAGAAAGGGACAAGAAACGTATCTGAAGAAATAATGGCTGAAAACTTCCCCAACCTGGCAAAAGAAACATATCCAAATCCAGGAAGCACAGAGAGTCCCGAACAAGATGAACCCAAAGAGACTCATATCACAACATGTTGTAGACTGCTCTGCCTGGTTCTAGGAATTGTATCTCTACCCATTGTGGCTAAGGGCAAGGGACAACCTGGGCTGTAGGAGACAAAGCTTGTCTCTGGTAGCAAACGCTGCTTCAGTTTTCTCTCCCTGCCCCAAAAGCTTGGTCAGAAGTCAATGAAGGGTAAAACCGCTCACAGTGGGGGGCAACCTAAGCCAGACTTGATCACTTGGGAGGCCATCATGGAAGGACTGCGGGGGGGGGCTGCAACAAAGAGGGAGCAATGGACTCTCGCCCCTGGGCTTTGACATAGCCCGAGTCCCCATGTTCTCTGGGAGAAGCGCTTCCTGGCTCTAATCCTTTTAAGCCTGAGTACCTGTTGGGGAGAGGTGCAGCTCCTTGCCTTGCTAGAGCGTGTCTGGGGGCGGGGGGAGGGGAGGATCTGGCATCACAAAGACTTCCTGATAAACCTGTGAAATCTGCTCTGCTAAGAGTGTTTTCATTCATATGTTAAGGGTTCGAGCAGGAAACCCTAAAACTCTGTTCCTGACATACTCTGACTCATACTAAACCCTCAGATTTCTTTGAAATGTTATCTAGCGTTTGATCCTTGCTGCCCTGTATTCCTGTATATTACAACCCAATAAAGGCCCTGGAGGAAGGGGGTCAAGGCCTTTTTCTCCTTGGAGAAACTGGCTGCTACTGGTCTTTTTCCCCTGATAAACTGGCCACTGCTCACAGCCTTTTTCCTCCGGGAAAATGGCCACTTTTTCTCCCAAAGCAGATCATATCATGTCTCATTCATGATTACTCTCATCCGTGGTGGCTGGGGGGACTTGCGAGGAAAGTCGCCCCCACAACAACACATAATAATTAAAACATTAAAAGTTAAAGGTAAGTAGAGACTCTTAAAAGCGGCAAGAAAAAAAAAAACTAGATGCATATAAGGGAATGCCCATAAGACTATCAGTTTATTTTTCAACAGAAACTTTGCAGGCCAGAATGGAGTGGCAGAATATGTTCAAGAGAATATATCTATGAAAGGGGAAAACCTACAAGCAAGAAACCTTGTAAGGTTATTGTTCAGAAATGAAGGAGATAATAAAGAGTTTCCCAGACAAATAAAAACCAAAGGAGTTCATCACCACTAAACCAGCATTACAAGAAATGTCAAAGGAAAATTTTAAGTGGAAAAGGAAAGGCCAAAACTAGAAATAAGAAAATATCTGAAAGAAAAAAATATCTCACTATTAAAGGCAAACATATAGTAAAAATATTAGACTGACCACCTGTAAAGCCACAATTAAAATGGCAATAAGTACACACCTATCAATAATTACCTTAAATGTAAATGGACTAAATGCTCCATTCAAAAGACAGGGTGTCTGAATAGATTTTTTTAAAAAAGATCCTTACATATGCTGTCTACAAGAGGCTCACTTCAGATCAAAAGACACACACAGACTGAAAGTAAATAGATGGAAAAGGTTATTTCAGTAAAATGGAAACAAAACAAAAAGCTAGGGTAGCAATACTTATTATACCAGACAAAACAGACTTAAAAACAAAAGTTATAATAAGAGACAAAGAAGGACCCGGCAATTCCACTTTTGGGCATTATCTAAAGAAAATGAAAACACTATTTCACAAAGATATAAGCACCATTATGAGACCTAGACTGTATTGTGCTAAGTAAAAAAAGGAAGAGAAAAACCAAATACAGCATCATTTCACTTAAATGTAGAATGAAAAGAGCTAAGACAAAACAAAGGAACAAGCAAAACAAAACAAAACAGACTTGTAGATACACAGAGAACAAACTGATGGTTGCCAGAGTGTTGGGAGGTTGGGATGATGGGAAAAATGGTGAAAGGAATTAAAAGGTGCTAATTCATAGTTGTAAGTAAGTCTCGGGAATGTAAGTACAGCACAGCAAATACAGTCAATAATATCTCAGTAACTCTGCACTGTGACAGATAGTTACTAGACTTCTTGTGGTGGTCTCTTACATGGTATATAAATGTCAAATTACTATGTTGTAACCTGAAACTAATGTAACATTATGTATCAATGATACTTCAATTAAAAAGACCTTTACTTTCCAGAATGTAAAAGAGAACATTTCTGAGCTTTTCTTATAGAAGAATGGCATTTTCCACTGATATAAGAAAGCATAAGAATTTTTTTCAACACTGTAATAGATTTTAAATTATTTCATTACTCAGACACAGGTATGAGTCAACAAGTAGAAAAATGAGCACAGAACTTAAGATAGCTTTTAAAACATAGGTTTAAAATACAAATAAAAATCACACAAAGAAGTCAATACGCAAATAGAAATGATTATATCAAAAATACTTACTGTTGAAAGGATTGATTCCTGCACTAATTCTTGAAATAATAGCTTCTTTTACTTCTTTTTTCTTTACACATCGAATACCCAAATTTTGAAAACTAGAAGGAAAACACAGAACTTTCAAACTGTATTATAGTTAAACACATAAATACTAAATACTGCAAGTACCAAGCATACATCCATCAGTGAAGAGTAATCATTCTCTCATATGGAAATGGTAAAGCATGTTATACATTTCCAATCACTATCATAAAGATGTGAGGGTAAAACAAGTGGGGTTATATTTCTAAGAAAACTGTTAAAAGAAAAATAACATATACTGTATAGTTTTTGCATATAGTATTTTACAATTACACCTTACTAGTATGCCTATGCCAAATATACTAAAGTAGATAAGAATTAACAGAAATTGACAGCAAAAAGCCAAAATTTCCCTCCTAAACAAATTCATTATCAAATCAATGACATTTGTATATTTGATAATGTAAAGCAAAAGTTGTAAAAAGATGCCCACAGGCTAAAGCTCACAGGTATATTTTGTTGAGCCCATAACAATGTTGTCTACATTTTAAAAAATGTTCATAGACTACCAACATTTAAAAATCAGGTAACTGCATATAAATGTCTGGATTTCTGACTTCTTGAACTTTTTAAAGGTCTGACAACAGTAGGCTGATACAGGTGGAGCTGATGCAGGGCTTTCCAGTTTGCTACGGTGCCTGCTAGCCCTCACAAACTTGACCCTCTCCATTCCACCGACATCTGATATTTGAGCCCTGACTTCACTGCTAGCAGTGGTGGATTGCATTTTATGCAGTATTACATGATGTTATAATAACTGCTCATCAGAAGAAAGCACTGAAATGTGTCTTTTATTAGAAAGATATTTGATACTAACAATAATATTTAACAAAAGTTTTATGTCATTTATGGAAAACTTCTCAATAGCTACAAATATTACTAATTTGCATGTGTACTATAGATGATGGTTGGGGGAACTCCCCTACCACCACCAGTCATACTTCTTCCCACATGGAAAAACCATGACATCATTAAAGTTGGGTGGGTGTGAATAAGGAAGCAAAACGATTATAACATCATCACTGCTTGTTTGAATTTCACATAGCAATTTGCTACAGGAGGCTGCCTGCCTTGTGTGCCCACTCCATGCTCTTGCTGTCACGTATTCATGCTCTGCACATGCACCACACTTGTGATTTTATTACCACCTAAAATATCCTTGACCTTACCTTCCTCTGCCATCAATAATTAAAAAAGGAATCTTAAATTCATAGAGTTTTCTTGAAACCTCAAAACCACAATCCTCTTCCTCAAACGTATTCCATTTCTTGGAAAGATTCTTAACTTGGTTCTTACTTTTTCTCTGGCAAAAGATTTTAAAGAGTCCTCTATCTTAATATATTTATACACTACTTGATTTAGTTTCCTCTGAATCATTGTATTTGACTGTTATTCACAGAATAGTAGTAGAGATTTCTGAAATTCTGACATGAGGAAACCAAGGATCACAGAGATTACTTACACAGAGATGACTCATTCATTCATAGTCATTCACAAGCTTTGGGGTTCCTACCATGGACCAAAAACTCTGGAAAATAATGGGGATATATAACCCCTTCCCTTCACGTAACTCACTGTCTTATCCAGGGGACGGCCAATGATAGTCCATGGACTGAATCTGGACCACCACTTGTTGTAAATAAAATTGTACTGGAACACAGGTAAATGGATTTGTTTATGTATTGTCTATGGGTGCGTTCATGCTGCAACAACAGGACTGAGAGGTTGCAACAGAGACCATATGGCCTGCAAAGCCTAAAATATTTACTATCTGGCCCTTTACAGAAAAAAAGTGCTAACGTTTAGTCTACTGAAACAGAGACATTAAGTAATCACACACACACACATGCTAAACTGAAACCACAATAATTTTTATAAAGGAGATGTACATGATGCCACAGGAGCCCTATGATAGGAATGAATTGATCAATTCATTCAGAGGGGGCACAGAGACTTCTTGTAGGAAGTGATACTTATTATCAACAGAAGTGGACTAGGGGAAGAGGAGAGTAAGAAGACTTCAGGCAGAAGGCAAAGAACGTGCAAAGGACCCTAAAGAAGAGCACCAAGCACAGAAAACTAAAGGAAGACCTTTGTGACAAGGAGAACATAGTATAACAGAAGGCTAGAAATACAAGTGGTTCATGTGGTCTTTATAAGGAATGTTGTCCTAATTTCCAGAGTCACATAAAGCTATTAACATGTTTTAAGCAGAGATGTGACTATCAGATTTGTATTTGAAAAGACCATGCTGATTAATAAATTAATTTAATTTTTAAAAAGATTGCTCTGGCTATACTGGAGGACATAACGGGAAAGAAGAGGCACAAAAACTGCTGACGTGAGAAGAGCAGTGAGAAGGCTATCCTTTACAGCCCACATTGAGACTACAGTAAGAGCAGTGTGGTAGTGATGGAGCTCACTGAGACGAGTGGGTAGATCCAGGAACTATTTTGGAGGTACCTGCTAAAAATTCAATGTGTGCACCTGTGTGAAAGGTAGTCCCAAAATTTAACTGCCTGAAAGATTCAGAAGAAACACCCAGGAAAGTAGGAAAACAAGAGTTTTTTCCCACAAAAATCAAGGAATGAGAATGTTTAGGAAGGAGTGATGTACAGTGTAAAATGCTGCCAGGAGTGATGTACAGTGTCAAATAATATAAATAGGAAATATTTCTTGCCAAGTTTGTATAACTAGATATTTTATGTTTTGTTTTTATTGTAAGAAAAATATTTTAAAGTATATTTTCTAAATTGTTACTACTAGTATATAAAGAGACAGACACAAATAGTTAGTTGTAGTTAGTTTCATTTTCCCCTAAACTCAATACATGTTAATTATAAGAAATGAATTATAGCCTTGAATGGTGTGGCTCAGTGGGCTGGGCATTGTCCCACAAACTGAAAGAAAGGTTGCCAGTTCAATTCCTGGTCAGGGCATATGCCCTGGTTGCATGGGCCAGGTCCCTGGTTATGGGTGTGTGAAAATCAACTGATCGATGTTTCTGTTCCTCTCTTTCTCTCCCCTTCCCCTCTCTAAAATAAGTAAATAAAATCTTTTATAAAATGAATTATAAAGTAAAAACAAGCAAAAACATGAAACCCCATAATCCTATCCATCCAGGGGCAACTATTATTAATCCCTTAGTATATATACTACTCTGGGTATATACACATTTATTTTAAACAAAAAAGACTATTAATCACATACTGTTTTAAACCTATTTTTTATTTACCTAACATTATAAATATCTTTCTGTACAAAGACATATTGGCAATGTTATTTTTAGGCGACATAGGAGTACATTGATAGATATACCAGTTTATTTGACTAATTCCCCTTTATCACTTGGATTGCTTCTTTTTGCCATTACAGAGTTGCAATGAACATCACCATAGCTAAGTGCCTGAACATGTTTAATTAATTGTTTCCTGAAGATAAATTCCTAGCAATAAAATTGCTACTTCAAGAGATATTCATATTTTTCAGACTTTTGCTATGCAGTTGTTAAAATTACCTATGAGGAAGGTTGAATTTATTTTCTCACCAACATAATGAATGGATCCATCTTCTGGCAGCATTACCCACACAGTGATAAATCATTTTTAATCTTAGAACTATTTGTGTATGTTAATTTTAGTAGCTGCCCTTTTCTAAATAATAATTCCAATTTTCCAGTTGATTTTCTAACATCTGGCAATTTTAAAATTAACTATTAGTAAAGAGATAGAGTAAAAATTTATGAAAAACAAGATTTTTCATTAATTGTTCAAACTAAGAAAAGAAATCACACCATAAAATAATCTATTCAATATGTTTTTTAAAAAGGTTTATTTATCTATTTCTAGAGAGAAAGGGAGGGAGGGAGAAAGAGAGGGAGAGAAACATCAATGTGTGGTTGCCTCTCACATACCCCAATTGGAGACCTGGCCTGCAACCCAGGCATGTGCCCTGACTAGGAATTGAAATGGCAACCATTTGGCTCACAGGCAAGTGCTCAATCCACTGAGCACACCAGCCAGGACTCAATATATTTACTTTAGGTAACGATAAAGAAGTATTCCTACTACTTAGTAGACATCATGAGCTATGTCTACTAATACAGAATAAAACAGTGCTTCTAATGCAAATGGTAAGAAAATTGAAATGTATACTATAGTAAATAGAAGTAGAATAAGGAATTAGTTTTTTCTGCTACAAAATATCAGATGTACATGGATAGGTAACAGAGCATCCCTTGCTTACCTGATACCTGAAAATGGCTGTGATGTATACTTACAATAAAGGCCTGCGTTCTTGTCCAAATTCTGCTTCATAGTAGCCATCTCTGCAGTCTTTTCCTACTAAATCATGCGGATGAGGTTTATATGGTTCATTCTTTGTTACTAATGTAATTCTCACTTTTCCTTTTCCACAATAGTTCATAATCTGAAAAGGGGGGGGAATAAAATAGATGATCCATAAATATTTCCCTGTAAGAACTGATCTAATAATTGAGAGTTCAATTCATATAATGTAGTTAGCGCTAAACAAATAAAGTCCAATTGGCTGGCAACCATACTTTAGCTGAAACTTCCCAGAAAATACAACTAGGGAAGAATTTATATATCAGTTCCTTGGCATATTAATTTCAATTGGTCGTATCATCTGATTCTGCTTATTTTCCTTTTAAAAACAAATAACATTATACCAAAACATTATCACAGAGCATGAGAAATATACTTAGCTGTTAAGTCACTGAATGCCAAGCTCTTAGATTCACTGTCATACCATAAATATCCTTTCAAAGTATATATTTAAGCTACACTGAATATGATAGCACACCAATACAGAGGACCATTTTACTTAATACGATATGTGACATTTCATCTCACAATAATAGTTGTTCATCAGTAAGCATATCCCAAGTGTTCATGTACAGTAGGCAATAAATCAAGTTGAGTTTCACAAAATTGTTTCACACAGTAAGTACATCTAGAACACTGAGAATAAAGAGGAGAGTTAAGCATGGAAACAGAACACTGTGAGCATGGGGATGAGCTAATGTTTAGTTTGGAAGCTAGCATATTTTCAAACACAAAACAGGGAATATGAAAACCAGCTTACAACAATGAAGCAAGGTAGTTAGGTCACAATGGATAGCTTTATGGATAAGAGGACACTAAAATCTGTAATTCTGAATTTAAACTTAATTTGAAAAGAAACCAGGAAGTATTTATTGCCTTTTTGAATGAAAGAGAATAACCACTTAAAATTGCAATAGGGGCTGATGTAGAACTCAAGATGTAAAGTATTTAGGAGCTCCTGGAATGGTAAAATGCAGGTCTTAGAAATATTTTAGAGAACCTATAGAATAAGCTCAATTATGGAAAAGAGTTAAATAATTGCTCTTCAAAGATTAGAAGAACAGTGCTTTCTTATTTACCTTTTATTAGCATTCCTCCTATTTTAACATTTAAGTAAAAGGACTTAAATAACTGAAATCCATACTGCTGCCAAAAAATGTGACAAAAATAGGAACTTGTAATTCAACAATGTTGCCATTGCCTTATCTTATAATCTAGCATTCCCTTTAAGTTCAATAGAATAAACTTTGTAAATAATCTAGTTATAAAACAATGAATTAAGATTTGTTGATGAAAGACTAAACACTTTTCAAAATCCATTTTGCCACTAAGGTTTTTAATTGGCATTTAAAGAATAAAAATTCATTAAAAATCAAATGAAATATAGTATATTAATATAAATATATTTTACAAACTATTTAAAAAGTGACTATATTTCAAATTAGTCAATGAAACCAAGAGTTTTAGGGATAGGCAAGAAAGGCAAAGAAAAAGGGGGCAAAATGTTCCTTCTCTTCTCCCTTAACCCCTAGTTTACCCAAGTGGTTACAAGAAGAATTCTAATCGAGTTCCCAAGTCCATGTTTTTAATCTACAGGACAATTCTGCTCACTGCTGAAAGGAGAGAATGCTTTTTCCTCACGAGTGCAGTGTTTCACAAAAGGAATCATTACCCAAAAGCTGTCAATGCACACTAAGCATTGTGCATCCCTCTACTTAGATTAACACAAGAAATAATGAATAACTATCAGCGTGGATGAAGAATCCATACTGCATTTAAGAAATGACCCTAGACAGCTATCTAGTACACATTAATTAAAAAGAAAAGAAACAGAAAAGCCCATGGAAATGACTGTAAAGGTGGGCCTTCAATGTAACGGTTGTAGCTAAAGTGTGAAGCAACTAAGAGTGAGACACACGAAGGAGGAAGGTCTGTTACCTGGATGGATGGGTATGTTCGGTTGTTGTCTGTGCTGTGCTCCCCTGGAATGCTGCCTGCTGATCGCCCTTCACATTTGTATCTAAAACGCATTCCCCGCTGCCTGGGTTGTTCACTTATCACTATATATGGGTTATAACCACCTGAAATTTTTTTAAAAAGGGAGGGAAGATAAGATTAGAATGCAACAATAATGGATTTTAACCATTTCATTTTTTTCAAAACATCAGACTAAAAGATTTTCCCTCTCAATATTAAGTAACAAGGTTAAAATATAATTAAGATTGAGTGGTAAAAACATGTTTTATTCCCGTTTAAATTGGGTTACTATACAGTGTTAACACAAGTCATTCAAATAATATTTATTGGTTAGCACTTTATCATTTACTATCTACAGTAATGCCAATGTGAAGTTCTTTTTTTAAAATTTTTCTTTTATTGATTATGCTATTATAGTTGTAGCAATTTTCCCCCTTTGCCCCCCTTCCACCCAGTACCCCCAACTCCCTCTGGCAGTCCCCCCTCCTTTGTTCATGTCCAAGGGCACCTGGGAAACCCCAGAACCTGTTACCCAGCCGATAGTTACAGACCACGTCAGAGCACCACCCAAACCACCTCCACAAGCCACGAAGGGAGGTGGTTGCTGACCAGGGGTCACAGTCAGTCCTACCAGCTGTCTAGACTGGGTAAATCCCTCCCATTGACCTGCTGACAGCAATCAAGACTCATCTACAAGAGGAAGGAGTACTAAGCCCACACAGAGGGCACACCTTGAATACCCAGCCTTGGGGATAGGGGAGGCTGTGCCACTGGACCCTACAGGACACCTACTACCTTAGACCGTGCTACTAAGACAGAGTCAAAGCAGCTCAACCTAATACATAGAAACAAACAAACACAGGGAGGCTGCCAAAATTAGGAGACAAAGAAATATAGCCCAAATGAAAGAATAGATCAAAACTCCAGAAAAAAGCTAAACAAAAAGCTATAAGCAACATAAGGTTCTGGGATAACCACTTCAAGGATACCCACTTCTCACATGAGACCAAGCAGAAGGGTTTCTCCCAAGATTCCCCCAGAAGAGGCAAGAACAGAGTCTTCAGAAGTACAGTGTTGTAGTCCAAAAGTGAGTTTAACTGCTTGATTTTACGTTAGGTTCTTAACAATGGACTAAAAGACCTCGTTGAAAGTGCAAATGCACTTAAATCCTTGCAGAAAGATATGTAAGTTTTTAATATCTCCACTGGAACATTAGTGGACATATATATATGTAATATACTAAAACAAGTTCCAGAAGGGACTTTAGGCCCAACATAATTTTCAGTCAATCTCGTCTAAACCTTTTCTAAAGAATGGTATAACAAAAGGAAATGATTTACTTTCTATAACAAATATAATTTAAACTATGCAATTTTAGAATAACTACTACAACACAGATGAATCTCACAGTAATTATGCTGAAAGACATGAGAGAAAAAAGAGCGCATACTATATGATTCCATATATATACACACATATAATCAGAGAATATGTAAACTAATCTGTAATGGAAGAAAGCAGATTGGGGTGTGGAGTGGATGAGGAAACTGGGGGACGAGGGGTATGTTAAGTATCCTGACTGTAGTAATGATTTCAAGCTTGTATACATGTCAAAACTTACCAACTTGCATACTTTAGTCATGTGCAATTTATTATATTTCAATAAAATTGTCTGAAACATATACATCTTTACCCCCTCATACCCAAATTATGAAAACAAAAGTTCAATAAAGACACTCAAGTGTCCTTACAAATAAAGTACATAGCAATGTGTCTTTATTTCAGACACATGAAGAGAACGTCCACTGGGAAAAAACCTTCCTCAATCAGTTTGGTGATTTCTAAATTGCCACAGCTAGATACCATTTTTTTGTGCTCACTTCAGCAACCTATATATTAAAATTAAACACTCAATTTTTTATTGTAGACTTATCCTGTATTAGAATGCAGAAAGTCTTCAGAAAGGATAACACAGTGGGTCTTATCAGTGCCTTTTGGATCCTAACCAGCCAAATCTTAACAACAAAAACTTTGAAAATGTTATTAAACTTCCCGTTCTATAAAATGAGTAATAACAGTGCTACCTCACTGGGTTGTTGTGAGGATTGGAAATAAAGGATTAAGTTCTTACTAAGTATCTCACATATAACAAATTATAAACAGGGTGAATTATTTTAGATGCTTTCTCAAAGACGATGATTATCGTGATACAATGAAGGTATTACAACTGCCACTTTCAAGGACTTTACATAACAGTGAGACAACACAAATTGTTAGATTATAGAAGGGATGAACAAAATTTTGTTTATGCTGATAAAGTTCTGCATAAAATGATAATGAAAATAAAAGATTCAGGAACGCCTAATATATATCAAAGGAAAAAAGGACTTAATGAGGCAAAAGGGTGGAGTGGGAGGAGGGAGAAGGGGGGAGGGCAGGGAGGCATTCTAGGTAAAGGGGGCAATGTGGCCAAAGGTGTACCAGTACAGCAGATACAGCCCTGATGGAAGAGAAGAATTTAATTGCCCTGGCTGGCATGGCTCAGTGGATTGAGCGCGGGCCTGTGAACCACATGATTGCGGTTCGATTCCCAGTCAGGGCACATGCCTGGGTTGCAGGCCAGTTCCCGGCAGGGGACTCGAGAGACGCAACCACACATTGATGTTTCTCTCCTTCTCTCCTTCCCTTCCTCTCTAAAGATAAATAAACAAAATCTTAAAAAAAAAAAAAAAGAGAGAAGAATTTAAGAACCACCAATACAGCCTCAGTGTAATTGTGGTGCATTTTCCATCTTTAGAAAGAACCACAAAAGACAGAGTACATTTGGGAATTTGGATTTCATACTATGAGTGTCACTATGAATCAGTGAATGGTCTTATGCAGGGGAATCACACAATCAAATTGGCATTTTAGAGCAAGAATTCTGGTGGCAATGAACAGGTTGAAAAGAGAAAGCAAGGTAATCAGTTTTAGAGTCTGTTATGGTAATATGAGCAGCGATGACAGTATATCTCAAATATAGTAGTGATAATAGGAATGAAGGATTATTTAAAAGATAAAATGGATAGTACTTGGTGACTGATTGAACATTAGTGTTAAGAAAAAGAATCAATGATGGCTTCATAGTTTCTACTTTGGGTTACTGAGTAATGTATTACTGTTACCTTTAATTTTATTCTGTTTGATTCAGACTCCTTGTGTTTAAATCTACCACCTATTTGTTTATTCAAAAGACAAAGGGTAGGAAAAATAATTGACTTTAACCTAATCAATTTCATAACACTTATTTCCGCTTTACTAAAAAATGTAAGGCATGTAGATGAGTATTTCATAATTTCATATCCTTATATATTTTTATATTTCAAGTAATTAAAATTCATATCTTATTTTCAAATATTTCACATGCTTATATATCCTTGTAGGAATATTTTTAGGAAAGCACATTTTCCTCACAATAATTCAAAATACTCAACAGTAATTTTTAGGTGATATATTAAATCACTTATGTGGTTAAACTAAAGGTCAAATAAATCCCTGCCCACTACTTATGTAAAGGTGTCTTGGTGGGAATTTGGTATAGAATGACATCATTAATGGTAAGTGGCTAACTTTGGGGGGAGGAGTTGTGAACAAAAGTGCTAACCTCATAGTGAGAATTCAAATAATTTCATTGGTTACACACTCCCTTCAACTAGAAAGTGTGTTTATGAAAAAGTCTATACATAAGAAAACAGAAAAGCATTGTTAAAAGATTAAATAAAACGTTTTAAAAAGATTTTTCAATTATAAAAATGACAAATATTAGTTACATGACATCAAGCACTTAAAAAAAACCCTTGGAATCTATTCTTCCTACTGGAGACACTCTCTATTGGTAAAAAGTCTTTCTAACAACCAGAGTTTATTGTAATATTCAACATTCCCCAACTAGAAAGAAACTCCCCCTCTTCTAAACTACCATAGTATTTTGTTTATGGCAATTATTCCAAATAACTACAATTTAGGGAAGACTATTTCTACCTGAAAAAAAAAGTTGTTTTATTTCTTCAACCCACTTGAAGGCAGGAATTGTATCTCACTCACCTTGCACACATATTCAGTAAGTATCTGTTAAATGAACGGATAAAAATCTAAAGATCTTTTTGTCTGTGTAAGTTATACAACCATGATTAATCAGATTTTCAACAGATTCCACTACTATGGAATAGTGCTTTGTAGGTGGTACTAGAATGGCTACATCTTCATGCCCTTCATACCCATTGGTATTCTGACTCCTTTATATGTATTAAGTTTTTTTAAAACTTCACAGCTAAAAAATCATTTATATCATGCATTAGTACAATGTATCAGTTACTTCCTTCCTCAACACCCTGTTTTGAAGTACAATTCTTCCTGAAGATAAACAAGTGCTGTAATGTAGTCATCTGTGGCGTGGAAGAAGGTAAAATATACATGAGTGAGTTGCAAGGAAAAATGAGTAGGCTCAACTAATACTACTTCAAGTCACTAAAGTTTCGAAAAGCACTAAAAAGTCTTCAAAACTGGTTCTATAAAAATTAATTACTATAGCACCCTGGCTGGCGTAGTTCAGTGGATTGAGCGTGGGCCTGTGAACCAGGGGATTGTGGTTCGCGACCAGGGCACATGCCTGGGTTGCAGGCCAGTTCCCAGCGGTGGACGCATGAGAGGCAACCAACCATACATTGATGTATCTCTCCCTGTCTCCTTCCTTTCCCCTCTAAAGATAAATAAATAAAATCTTTAAAAAAATTAATTACTATATTTAAACTAATAAACTGGGATTGATCCCTATATTTTGAACAATATTGTAAAAAGCCAACATAGACCAGAATAACATTTGAAATATAGCCAAAATGTTTGCAAAATATATTTGCTTTTATTTGTACTTATGCAAAGAGTGTTATTTTAAAACATAGTACATACCTAATAAAGTATGAGTTTGTAAGATAAAAAAAGAAATTACAGTGAAATGAAAGTTAAAAATGGATCATCAATTGTCAAAAATAGACACATTATAAATGAAAACCTTATAGCTAGAATTGGGAAACAGCATTAATTATACAGTGAAAAATATTAATTATAG